TGCATGGCCATTCCTGCATGTTCAGAGTGTATCTCGCAAAAATGGAAAACATGTCCTCCGACAAGAATGGCCATGGGGTGGCAGCAACAAAAAAACTACGTATATTTCTGTCACATCGTCTCCTGGCCACAGAAAAAATCTCCACCACTGTCAAAACAATCTCATAAAGGGTGTCATGTGTATCGTAAATTTCCGACTCGCCCAACACTATCATGATGCTCTCATACGTTTTTTTGCCATCTCCCAGGACAGTTTTTTATTCATGGTGCTATATAAAAATATATGCTGTATATATGACAACTTTTTACCTAACTCTTATAACTTTTTTTTTATGGAAGTTAGCAAGATTATGTTGATTAGCCAAAAAGATAAATATATAAGCAAGATATGTTAACAAATGTAAAAGATGTATATACATGCCACACAGTTAAGATGTAGTTAATACATACTTAACATAGACTTATATGCTTTTGCTAAGACACTATATCCGTCTTTAAGTTTCAGAACCACTTAGAAGAAACCGGGCATGCCAAGTATCACCCCGTTTTCGCACAGCGAGCCACTGCGTGTGAAGCAAGTGTGCTGGAAGCTCCTCGTACACCTGCCCCTGAGCATCCTGCAAAAAGAGGTCCTGCGCGCAGAGTGCTGACAATAAAGGCTGCAAGCTCGTGTCCAAAGACTGCACCGCTTGCAGAACATCAACGCACGTCATGCCAGGCGTGAGGGCCGGCAAAACCCCAGCACCGACGCCTCGCAAGTCCACAGGCGCAACAGTCTCAACCGCAGCCAAATCCAAGTCAGCGGACCCCTCGGTAACCACAACTTGTGGTTCTTGTATGCCCGGCACACTGGTGGTGAGAAGTTGCACACGGCGCACAGGTTCATCCAGCTGGGAAGCCGCATAGCTGGCAAAGTCCAGTAGCGACCATTGTCGCCCTCCCTGCAGGGTGACCGGAGGGTAGCCCTTCACCATCAACAAGAAAGTCACCGGGCCGTTGTCCTTGGCTGTAGGGTCAAGCTGCGGGTACAAGCGCAGGTGCGAAGCTGGAACACGTGCCCCATACGGTTGTCGCAAGCCATCCGGCATCAAATGAACATGCAAGAGATTAAAAGGAATCTCATGCGGTGCATCCCGACTTCTTGTCCTAGGAGCATGGGCGGCCCCGTGGCTTGCATACCAGTGGTGGTCCGCGTGGTGCAGTCGCGCATCCCAGCAGGCATGTCCGCTAAGGAGCGAACTACAAACCATTGATAGACCTCCGGACTGGCGTCTGCCTGAATGACCCTGACCCCTTGAGAATCAAAGATTCCAAAGTCTCCTTGGCGCAGGCCCATTGCAAGCATGCCGCCTGCATCATGACCTTTCGGCTCAAGCTGCGCAATTATGTCCGCATCGCGGCACGGCACTGTGAGCAAAACAGTCGCGATGCGTCCTCCTTGCTGACGGAGGTCAACAGGGATAGCCCAGGTACCACGGGCCGCGCTGGCTGGAGCAAGCGCGAGGCCGGGGCTGTGCGTGCCACGCAGAGGTTGTGTCAGGAGTTGGATGGCCCTGGGCAAGAAAGTAACTGCTCTTGTGGCATCCATGGCATATTCATGCACCGTCCATGTGCGCTCAGCTGGCCTTGACCTGTAATCACCAACCGGGTCGTAAAGCGCATACAGTTGGGCACGGTCATGTGGAGGTTCCGACTGGGCAAGGGCAGCAATCTCCTGTGGCTTCCGGTCAGCGAGAGGGGAATCCAAAAAGGCTGGGAGGAGCCGTGCCTGACTTGCAAATATGTGCCCTAGCATGCTTGTCCCATCCCCAAATCCGCCAGGACGTTTCGTGCTAGCATATGGGATCATGACAGCTGGCTTGGTCGCTGTCGCCAGCACGGGATCATAGCCTCCCTCACGGCAGCGCATATCACTGGGAAGGCAGTGGACTCTTGCGGTGCACACCCCACTGGATGGCACACGCTGCGACTGGGAACTATCGGCTCCCCACAGGGAAAGGGGGCCGTCACGGGCATCTGAGAAATGTCCTGCCTGGTCACCTGGAGGGACACCTGCGGAGCGAGCAACAGGCTGCATCCGCTGCGACTGGGCATCGAGCGCTTCCTGCACACAACTGGAAAGATGAAATGCGGGCGGTGGTCTCAGGATGCAAGTTTCGACATCTTCAGAAAAAGAAACTCTGTACATACTCCTACGAGAAGCACTGTACAGCTTGTTGTCAAGTGTCGCTGCATGAGCCAGGGTGGTCCTGGCAGCCACCAGTGGTGGACCTGCAGCCTCGTCGGTACTCGCCCCGGCCAAACTGTCCATGTGACCAAGGACTTCCCGGAATGCCGCAGAGAACAATCCCTGGTAGCTACCATTCTCAAGCGGCTCATACATAACTCCCTCAACCGTATCATCACGAATACGGGGATCTCTCCACCAGCTGCTGGCCGAACTCCGCGGGCAACAGTAGGTTTCATAGACAGCTGGACTCCAAGCATAGCGGCTGCCAACTCATCCACAAAGTCCCATTCCGCCTGCGCAGAGTGGCTTTCCTCGCCCCCAAAGAGCGGCAAGGTCACGGCCGGCTCCCCACCTCCTAGAAGGCACCGTGAGGAGCCGATCAAAAATGCGACGACGGATCTTTGGCTGCAGCCTTTGCCTCGGCTGCTTTCTTACCCGCCTCGCCGCCTGCTAACTTCTTGGCCTCTGCTTGTAGATTCGCCTTGTCGAGCTCCTGGATAACCTCTTCTCGACCACGGCGCCTGGGAGTCCGCGAGCCTTCCCACCTCTCCGAAGAGCCTTCGGCTGACTCTTTGACCGAAACCAGCAGCTGTGTCAGTTGCTGGTGCTGCTGCGTCATCTTTTGCTGCCTGGCCTCCTGCCGTGCCGTGTCCTGTTCTGCTTGATCCACAACAGCATCCATGTCGTCGTCGATCTCCTCCACGAGGTCGACGACCGGTGCTGTCAAAGTCGCAGCCTTCAGGGCACTGGTGGACTCCGTGAGCCTGTTCGTCCATGCCGCCTGCGCTTCGTCCAGCTCGGCAAGCGTCTTTGTCCGCTCCTCGAACTGGACCGACAAAAGATCCAGCAACGACTGGGTATAAGTAGCCCCGCCAGCCTCGAATCCTGCCCGCTCTGAGCGAACTCGCTCGAGCGCTGAAATGGCCTCTTGTCGTTGGGCCACCAAGCGATGCAGCGTCTTGGACTCGGTCTTGACTGAGCCTTGTGTAATCTGAGACACCATCTTGCGCAGGTTGTCTGGCAGCTCCTCTTGTTGTACCAACTGTGCAACAAGAGCATCCAAGACCTTCTTCTCCTCGGAAGGTGCGGGTGCAGCGCCTCCCGCCTCGTCCTTTGGCACCGGGACTTTGCGTGGCTTCGGCGGCTTCGGTAGCTGCGCCACATTCGGCGCGGAGGGCGCCGAGGGCTCCTTGGGTCCCTTGGTCTTGCCCTTGCCTTCGGCCTTGCCACCTGTATCCCTGTGCCTCGGCGATCTTGGTCTCCTCCATCTCGGCGATTTGGGCCTCTCCTGCCAGCCGGCATCCCATTGAGGATTGCCCTGGCCATACTGGCGCCCTGGAGGCGCCCTGTTGTCGGCACGGGCACTTTGCTGCCAGTGCTTGCCGCATCCTGGGCAGAATACGGCGGAGGCCTTGTTGGTTTGATTGCATGAGCATCTCCACGACGCCATGGTGTCCTGCAGCTTTCCTGGTCCACAATCGTCGGACGACTGTGGTGTCCCCGCAGAGCTCGAATTGCCCCGCGAACCTCGCAGGCCCTCACTGGAAAACCAGCCAAATAAGCCCGTAGTGTTACTCTCGCCGATGTCCTCTTCCTGCGCAGGTTGCGATGCCAGGCCGGCTCCCTCTTGGGAGCTTTCAAAAACCGCGGCGTTGCAGCCGCGCGAACAGCCAGAGCACTAGCAAGCCGTGAAGGGCACTGCGCATCCACAAAAACCACCGGTTTCCAACAAGCCAGGGCGAACCAGATCAGCTTGGGTGTCCGGGTGGTGGTAGAGGTCGAAATAGGCAGTAAAGAAAGTCAATGAAAAACCTTTCCAGCCACCGCCTGCCCACGGTGGGGAATAGTCCAGGGAACTCCTCCAACAGGTACAGAGTCCAGGATATCACGGGTTCTGCGACCACGTGTGGGGTTCGGCGTCGGAGTGGACCCTAAGGGAAACTACACTCCACCTGCGTGCCAAACGCCTAGAGAAACAGTGTTTAGGGT